ACTAAATCTTATTTTTCTTTTTGGGATTTTCATTTCAATTCTTATTATGGTCATAATCTATTCACTTTTCTCTTGCTTTATTTAATGTTTTTATAAATTTATTCAACTATGCATTTTACTTTCAAATTATGACTTCTAGATAGCCCTTAATCTGCAGCTGCCTTGACAATCTAGATTCGGAGAATACCCCTTTGCTTTAGTTACTCACCATCAACAACCAAAAGAAACACAATAAACTTAAAAGGATTAGTAAGATAACAATAAAGCTATTAATTTCCTAATTATGACCCTTAAAAGTCAGAAGCAGCAATTCTACATTGCAAATTTAAGTCCAATGTATATATATATTGACATGGAATTATAAATTTACTAAGTTTTTCTTAGAGAATTAAATCCTAAATTCAAAAAGTTGGAAAAACACATTAAGCCACATTAGTGTAATATTGAAATAATCAAGTGAAGTGTGTTGCAGGCAACAGGCAAACATGCTATCAGTCAGATTCCTCCAAAATAACACCCTAGTTGAAACCAATCTTTCTTTAAATTTAAAAATCACCCTATTTAGTCAATAGAAGGATGTACTCTCTGGTTAAAATTAAAATTACAGGGCCAAGCATGTACTGGAACTGGTCAAAACACAATTCTAGAAATTTGAGCTGTTATTCAACAACAAGACAATGGTAAAGAATATGTTCTGAAACGTAGAAATATTAGACTAAAGCAATGTTTTATCTTTCATAAAAACACTTTCCATTACAATATAAGCTGTGAATAATTTTTAACTTTAAGAAAAAAAATGACAGATCCCAAAGTTTTAGGTTATCCTGAAATATATTCTAGCATGTTGTTGTTGTTGTTATGTGCCATCGAGTCAGACCCGACTCATAGCGACCCCTCCTTGGGTTTCCGAGGCAGTATCACTACATAAGTAGATTGCCCCATCTTCCTTCCGATGAGTGGCCGGTGGGTTTGAACCACCAGCCTTCTGGATAGCAGTCAAGTGCCTTAGGCACTGTGCTACCAGAGCCCCCATATTCTAGCATGTTGTTGTTGTTATTTGCCATCGAGTCAGCCCCGACTCATAGCGACCCCTCCTTGGGTTTCCAAGGCAGTATCACTACAGAAGTAGGATTGCCCAACCTTCCTTCCGAGGAGTGGCTGGTGGGTTTGAACCGCCAGCCGTCTGGTTAGCAGGCAAGTGTCTTAGCCACTATGCTACCAGAGCTCCCACTTTCCAGCTTTATCTGTTATAATTTTCCAGAGCTATAGAGGAGGGTAAAACAACAACAACAAAAAATCTACTTGGTTGCTTATATGGGAGAATTTTGTTTATTCCTTTCCTTCTTATCCCCAGATAGGATGGAAAAGAAGAAAAAAGAAAGAGGCAATAAATAAAATAAGAGAAAAAAGGGAAGAAGAGGGAAGAGACCCAAGTACAGAAAAATAAAAAGGGCCAATTGTTTTCTTCTTTCTTAGTACTGCTAATAACAAAGAAAAGAGCAAGATATTTTTCAAAAAAGATTATTCCTGACAGTTTCTTGTTCCTCCATCCCAACCCTCATTACCACTTGCTTAGAGCTGCATATTCCTTGTTCCCAATGCATGATACATTTAGGCATTTGGGAAGGAATTCCTCTTCTGAGGGTTGATGTGATGAGGGGGTAGGATGGGAATCCCATTTAGGAGTTTCATCAGATATAAAAATTCCAAATATGGTTTCAGAGTCATAAATTGAACTTACATTCAATAGTACTATGCTTCAGAAACACGGTTATGATAAAAAAGGCTTTTGTGGGTAATTGATGGCATATCTAAGGTATAGGAGCTCTGGTAGCATAGTGCCTAAGGCATTTGACTGCTAACCAGAAGGCTGGCGGTTCAAACCCACCAGCCACTCCTTGGAAGTTAAGTTGGGCAATCTACTTCCATAGTGATACTGTCTCAGAAACTCACGAACAGGTTGCTATGAGTCAGGTCTGACTCAATGGCACATAACAACAACAACATCATCTAAGGTATGGCAGGTATGGTATGTGCCCTGGGTGCCACCTGAAGGGAGCTGCCACTAAGCAGTTTCTATTAAACCAGTGCTGCCAAACATCCTTCTTCCTGAAGTACCATAGACCCAGAGGTGTGGTGAGGGGGTGACAGAGGGGGGCACTTGCCTCTGGGTGTGAGTGCAAGGGGGCGCCAGGCAAGGCACAGAGTGACATTCTGGGATGTCACAAATATGAAGGTACCTGATTGAGGCAACCAGACAAGAAGAAGGAAAGTGTTTCTGCTGACACATTGGCCGCTATCTATCAACATTCATTCATCTTGAAATTGGAGGTGAGGGCTATGCAACTTAGAGATTGCCATTAAGTGCTCAAATTGGGTGGGGAGCACAATTAGTGACTGCCCCTGGGTGCTCCTTACCCTTGCTATGTCCTTGCAAGTGTGCAATTTCAGTGCTTGGCATAGATGCTATTTTCTACAGCTACTACTCTGGGGCTACCCTGGAATCTATAATCCCTTTAATCTCATTTCTGCAAAAAGAAATGTATCAATTCTGAATATAATATATTTGTAATTTGAGGTCTATCTAGGCAAAGAAACCTATCTTTTCCATAAGGAGCCAGCGTCAGCTAGAAAGCCCAGAACAATAAGGTATCCCAGTAGGAAACAAAAGCATGAAGATGGAAAATAGAAAAGTGTTTAATTCATCAGAATATGGTAACTTAATGAAAAATACTGCCCTGAGAAGGAAAGCCAAGATAACCCTAAAAGGAGAAAATGTAGTCTACTTGTAGAGGGAAATAAGAAGGACTAGAGACTAAGGATAATTTGGAGTCCATTTGGATAAAAGGAATTCACATTATAGAGGAGTGGTATACAAGACTAAGTAAGCTAAATTCTGTATCTGCTCCATGTACCTGATTTGCTTTTTATAGTTTGTTCTCTTGTATAGCCTCATCTGTGACTTTGTTACCATAAATGGAGTTTCCCTACTGTTAAAATTGTGAAGGAGGAATAAATGAAGAGGAATACGTAGTAAGGAAGGTTACTTTAATGTGGCTGTAGCCCTAAGACAGAATGCCAATCCTTAAGGTGGTGGCCAAAATGGAACCTTAAAGATCTGTAAGAATTTATAGATATAATATATTTAAATATTCTTTTATCTTGTTGGAGCTCTGGTGGCGTAATGCCTAAAGCATTTGACTGCTACCCAGAATGCTGGCGGTTCAAACCCACCAGCCACTCCTTGGAAGGAAGGTTGAGCAATCTACGTCTGTAGTGATACCGCCTCAGAAACCCAAGGAGGGGTCACTGTGAGTCGGAGACAACTTTATGGCAGTGAGTTTGGTTTATCTTGTTTGGTGATTTTTTTTCCTACAGGTATTTCTGGGAAATGGCTTCCATTTTATTGTAAGGTACATACTCTCATCCTGTTAAATGCATGCATGGCCACACAAACACAACCTCTCTCTCTCAATCACACACACATATGAAAATAAAAGTAAGTTTCAAGATTTCACATTTTTAACTGTAGGACCTAACATTTATTCCCCTAATTTCTAATAAGTCCACCTAAATAGCAAGAAAGGAAATTGGAAAAGGAACTAAAATTCATTCTTGCATTTTTTGGTAAAATTTCCTATAACCTCTATATATTTTTGGAACTAGGAATGATCAATATGATCTGGCTCATTGCCTTTGTGCCTATTTTCACCAATTAATTCCAAAACAGAAAAACCAGTCTTAGGGTACCACCATACCTAACTAAATGACTTTCTACCTGTAAACTAGCCCCATTCGTAACATAATTTTCACTGAAGAAACTGAAGTATGTTTTAGACTCTATGTTTTAAATAGTAGTATAATTTGCCTTGCTAATGGAAAACATTACCATTTCTTCCATGCCTTCCTAAAGGACTTTCAAGAACTATTGTGCTAACTTTAAGAAAGAAAACGATTAAAATGATCATTGGTTAAGCTGCATAATTTCATTGTCATTCTTTTTTGGCACACTATCTTCTAGATTCCCTGAGTGGGAACAATGGCAACTGTTCTCATCACCAACTTCCTATTTCACCATAAATAACTTCATTCTTCTCACTTTTCCATTTTCTCTACAGAGACCACAGAGGCTACTGGAACTGAATATCCCTAAAAGAGTTGCCATTTTCATTTCTGTTTACAGAAAGAAGAAAACAGAGAACAGATTCTGTTTTACTCCTAATACACATATTTGCCTGGGGCAAAGTGGCCTTTTGCTTCCCATCCAGTGGATACCTTCTAAGGAAGGTGATAGTAATCCTCTTCTTACATTGATTCATGCCACTACAATAACTTCTAGGTGGGTGAAAGTTAAAAAAAAAAAAAAAAGAGAACAAGAAATTTAATAGAAAAAAGAAGGAAAGGAAAGTACTGAGAAAGTTATGGTGAACAAAATTAACTTTCAGTAAAGTTTTTAAATAATAAAATGAACAGTCAAAAAGGAATATTAAAACAAACAAACAACAATCTTAGAAGATAATCAAATTCAAGAAAATAGAAATACTTAAAGTTGCATCAATGCTACAGAACTTTTTACCAAAACGTCCAGAACAAAATGCTGAAAGTCCCTACTGGTTTGTTCTATCTCAATATGCAATGTTATTAGCTGAAGAAGTAATCGAAAAATAAGAAACATTAAGAAATATTTTCAAATAGTTATGATTAGACCCAAAATATACGAATAATCTGAAAATGCATTTTTCCTCCTCTCCCATTCCACTGAAATAAAACTTAAAAGTCAACATAATTTTAAAACAAATTTTCATTTATGACATAAGATCCATTTTCTTTATTGCCTATCACTCCTGGATAGTAAATTCAGAGTTAAGAGTGGTTCAACAGCTCTCCCTTTCAGGCCTATACAGTACTATTTACTAAAGCCAGAATTTATAGCACCACAAGTACAGAGAAAAATATGATTGAGTTAAAATGCTCTAATTTGAAGAGCTTATATTTCTTACCGTGTCTTTTCCACCTATGGCCTCTTATAGACATGCTGGTTACTGCATTTCTTGATATTCGAGAGGAAGTTGGTGTAATTTCAACTTGAATACACCTTGTGCCCTCCTTACTAGATTTCATGGCACCATGAGGCAATGAAGCCTTGATTGCATTAGCAACCTAAGAAGAAAAATAATAGTGTAAGATTGATATCAACAGATCATACCCTTAGATAAAACATGATGCTAAAGTTTTAACATGTTTACAAAAAGAATATTCTCTCCACGATATTTCATAAGATGATGCATAAATCCTCTAGAAGAAGGGTTACGAGCTCAGAAGGAAACTTATAGTTAAACATATCATGTGAGTGATTAAGTTAAACATTTCAAAATATTAAATTGGATTTCCAGATGCCTAATGGAGAAATCCAAGCTGGTTTTAGAAGAGGGAATGGAACAAGGGATATCATTATTGATGTCTGAAAGCAAAGAACATCAGTAAAAGGTTTATCTGTGTTTTACTGACTATGTAAAGGCATTCAACTGTATGAATCATAACAAATTATGGATAAAATTGTGTAAAATGGGAATTCCAGAAACTTAACTGTCCGTACAAGGAACCTGTACATAGACCAAGAGGCAGTCTTTTAAACAGAACAAGGGGATACTGTGTAGTTTAAAATCAAGAACTGTGTACATCAGGGTTGTATCCTCTCACCATATTTATTCAATCTATATGCTGAGCAAATAATCTAAGAAGCTGGACTATGTGAAGAAGTATGAGGCATCAGGATTGGAGGAAGACTCATTAACAACCTGCAATATGCAGATGACACAACCTTGCTTGCTGAAAATGAGTATTTGAGCACTTACTAATGCAGATCACAGTCTTCAGTATGAATTACACCTCAATATAAGGAAAACAAATATCCTCACAACTGGACTAATAAACAAAATCAGGATAAACAGAGAAAAACTGAAGTTGTCAAGGATTTCATTTTATAATTGATGCCCATAGAAGCAGCCAAGAAATCAGACAATGCATTGCAGTAAGCAAATCTTCTGCAAAAGAACTCTTTAAAGTGCTGAAGAGCAAAGATGTTACTTTGGAGACTGTGGTGCACTTGACCCAAGCCGTGGTATTTTCAATGGCCTCATATGCATGTGAGAGTTGGACAATAAATAAGGAAGACCTCAGAAGAATTTATGCATTTGAATTGTGATGTTAGCAAAGAATACTGAATGAATCACGGACTGCTAAAAAAAAAAAAATCTGTGTTGGAGGAGGTAAAGCCAGAATGCTCCTTCGAAGTGTGGACAGCCAGACCTTCTCTCGTACTTTGGTCATGTTGTCAGTAGGGACCAGTCTCTGGAGAAGACTATAATGCTAGGCAAAGTACAGGGTCAGCAAAAAAGGGAAAGACCCTCAACAAGATGGCTGCAATGATAGTCTAAAGAATGGCAACAACTGTGAGGATGGCACAGCCTGGGCAGTGTTTTGTTCTGTTGTATGGAGAGATGCTAGGAGTTGAAACTGACTCGATGGCACCTAACAACAACAAATGCAGCTCAACTATTTAAGGAAAACACTCTTATAAATTAAAAGCCTATCATGTATCTATGAAGTTAGTCTAATGAAATTTTCAGATTTTATTATATATACTTTTTCAAGTGAAAAATTTTCCTAGTATTACAGAAGCTTGAATTAACTGATAATTAATGACATGTTAATATATTATGAACAGTTCCTTCTCAATTTAAAAGAAACTTACTGCTGTCTAGTTGATTCAATTCGACTCATGGCAACCCCTCCTTGGGTTTGTGAGGTGGTATCACTACAGAAGTAGATTGCCCAACCTTTCTTCCAAGGAGTGGCTGGTGGGCTTGAACCACCAGCCGTCTGGTTAGCAGTCAAATGCCTTAGGCATTAAGCTACCAGAGCTCCCTACTTGTCCATTTATAGTTCAAAACTGAGAAATTTTATGTTACGAAATTTACATAACTGAGGTACTTACCAGCAGTGGCTCTGGGTATAATTCCAACTGGGCTCTGTATATAATATCATCCAATGCTTTTTGAGCCAGATCCCATTCTCCATTATAACTGTAAAATTAATGAATTAAGTAAAGAAAGTGTAATTGTTCTAAATTAATTCTATTGAATTGAACAAAATATAATGAGAAACTATCTTTACTGAGGAAAATAATAGATCATACTAGCACATTGCTTAACATTTCACTCTCCTTACAAATATATTTTTAAATCTTTTAATTCTTTTCAATTGTATCTGAAAGCATATTAATAGCAATGAAAATTTTATAGATGTACATTTCTTCTCTAAAGAACATCTCTATTTATAGAACAGAAATCAAAAAAGCTAAGACAATTTCAAAGCATTTTATACTTTCAAAGCAAGTCAGAGCCTAACAAATTATATACCTTAAAATAATGTTCAGAACACTTTATGGTCAAATTACTCTGTAACTCCCACAGTTTTTAATGAGAATCTACAACTACTGTGGCTTCCAATATTCTGAATAGTTACTTCTTTGTATTCTGATAGTCATTTATAAGTGTACATGATGCATGTTGGAAGTATCAGAGAGGTATCAGGAAAAAGTATATAGATAAATACATACATACATAATTTTTAAAGAAATGGCCAAACTCTTCATAAAAATTGACTAAAGGACAAATGAACCAAGATATGCTGGCTTAAATCTGAGAACAAAATTAAGAAATACCGATTATATTGACTGCAAGTGATGTCTTCAAAGATGGAAAGAGCATTTCCATCCCTAAAAAACAAGATAAAGCCAGATAATCTATAAAATCAACTTTTTATGAACCCATCAAAGAGCTGAGGTCACAGGGCAACCATGGATCCAGCAACCTAAGAGTAGACAGCTGCCTCTAAGGAGAGATAGGCTACAATGCAAGGGAATAATAAGAATTCATCTAAAACCTTTAATAAATTACTAAAAGCCAAGTGTAGGCTAGCATGAGAATATAGAATCTCTGGGACCAAATACATAAGGACCATATATATAGTTTCTTCTCCGCAAACCTCCTCTGGGCTCTCACAAGAAACTCTTGGGGCAGGGTGTGAAACCAGAGAAAGCTTCCCTTGGTGGTGCAGGCCTGAAGGAGAATAGCCACCCACACAGAAAAAATGTGAAGACTCAGCCACCCTTCTCCCATATGGAACAATACTTTTTAAGCCTTTGGGGAGTCACAAACACTTTCACCCTCAAAGTGTAGATGAAGACCCTATGGCTCTGGGGGGAAACCAGAGAAAGCTTCCCTTGGTGACGCAGGCCTGAAGGAGAAGAATAGCCACCCACACAGAAAAAACATGAAGACCCAGCCACCCTTTTCCCATATGGAACAATAGTTTTTAAGCCTTTGGGGAGTCACAAACACCTTCACTCCCAAGATGCAGATGAAGATCCTATGGCTCCGAGGGAAGAAAAAAAATTAAATCTCTGCACTGGAGGAAGATCAGGAAAATATCTGGTACTGAGACCATTAGATGTCTGCTACCACTGAGGGAGGTTCAGGATCACTGAGAAATTCCCATCACTGAGATGCAAGATCATAGACTGAGGCTGAACTAGGACAACAGAGAACAATCCCTACCCGCATCCCTCCCACCAAGCTAGGGAATACCTAGAAACAAACTACAGCAATCCATTATTGGAGGAGAGGCAAGAACATGGAGAAAGACTCTAAGCTGTAGGCAGAGAGGGAAGGATGAACGCTGAGCACTGATCAGGAATACTGAGGAAGAAACCTCCAGCAAGCTAGTTCTCACCTTTAAGTACCAGGGAACAATTAAGTACTAGAAGAATTTGAAGTAGGTAGTGGCCTGAAGGTAACCACAGCAACAACAAAACCCAACTATGAACTGCCTAGAAGAAAAACAGCATGCTATTTCCAGGCATGAAACATTTACCTTCACACTGAGAAGAGGTAACTATGGGGAGGAAGTGGGAGGGGAGCTGTTGCATTGTGGTAAACTGTGGTCAATGACATGCAACAAAGTGTATGTCAACGGCTGTATGGAAAGTGAATTTGCTCTGTAAATCTTCACCCAAATCACAATAAATAATAATAATAAAAAAGACCCACTTATGAACAAAATCATGATCAATTAAAAATTACAAGATATACAAAAAGAAAAAAAAATACTGCTTTTCAACTCACTATCGAGAGACAAAGCAATTAGTAGAACCAAATTCAGAGATTACCCAGATGTTGGAGCTATCAGGGAAATTCAAATAACTGTGATTAATATAGTAAAGGCTCTAGTAGTAAAGATGGACAACATGCATGAAGAGCTAGAAAGTTCAGCAGAGAGATAGGAACTGTAAGGAAGAGATAAGTGAAAAGTATAGAAATAAAACATGGTAACAGAAATTAAGAATGCCTTCAATGGGCTCATTAGTAAACTTGACATAATTGAAAAAAGAATCAGTGAATTTGAAAGCAGATTGAATTTAGGAACTTCTCAAACTGAAACACACACAAAAAAAGGAGAGAAATAAGATCAGAGCATCCAAGAGCTGAGGGAAAATATTAATGGTCTAACATAAGGGTTGGCAAACTTTTTCTTAAAGAGTTAGACAATAAATATCTTAGGCTTTGTCACTACTACTGAACACTGTCATCATGGCACAAAAGCAGTCATGGACAATATGAAAACAAATGAGAATGACTGTGCTCCAAAATATTTACAAAACAGATAGCAAGCCGATTTGACCTGTAGACCATAAATTTTACCTTCAGTCAAGAAGCTTATGGTCTATTAGTGAAAATTAAAGTATTAAGTGAATATAATACAAAACATGGTAAGTTATACACAATAAAAGGAACACAAAGTAAATGATAAAGTTCAAAGAAAAATACTATTAACCTCAGGCATTTAGTATGACTGAGCATTAATATCAGAAATTAATAGTAAACTATTTCTGATCAAAGAAGCTCTAAAATATTTTTTTAAAGCTAAAGTATATGGAAACTATTCCTCGGAATATTCCAAAGATATTCATTGGACAAAAAAGCTATTTGAAAATTATAGCAAGAGAGAAAATAATGAAAAAGGAACTATGAATATGTTTAGGTTTTACTAATTTTCATTCTGTCTTTGAATTAAAGGAAGATGAGGAAGTGTTTTAGTTACAAGTGTTTCAGTTTAGAACTTTAAAATATATCTTTTAAATAATAAATTATCATTAAGATCTTGATTCATATTCTTTCACATGAAAATATGCTTATTATCTATGTATTGACATTACAATATTGTTACAATAAATTAATGGCTATAATTGTTCAAAGAGATCAAAGCTTACTTTGTATATAAGATAAACTTACAAGGCAAAATAAATCCCTGTTAACATCTGCACCATGAATTCTGAAGAAATTGGTATCCTGCTACTTATACCTTTGTATTTTCTTACATGTTGTCGAGGATATCCACAAACACAGATTCTAGAAAGACCAAAATAAATATAATTACAAAATTGGCATTAAAAAAAAAAAACCTGAGTAATTTATTTTAACATTTAAAACTAACAATGTGCTAGTTATGCTCTCATAACAAACCCAGTATCTATGAAACAAAGAACATAACTAATTCAAAGAAAGCACCATAAACAAGTTGAGATGCAAAGGAACACTGAATATAGTAACAAATACTATTTATAGATAAGGAGTACTGAAGCTAAAGTGTATTTACTTAAAAGTCCAAGACAGGGCCAATTATATAAATCATGCACAGAATACTCAAAAAACAATTAAACATAAGGTTTTGAAAGTCTACTTAAGTGACAGGGGAAAAGCTGTGCAAACATATGTAGCACAATTCCATTTTGAATAAATAAACAGGGATACAGTATGTGCCACTGACAAAAGAACATCTAAAGTTATCTCTGAACTTTGGGAATATCCCACTCACAACCATGGAGTTGATTCTGACTCACAGCGACCCTATAGGACAGAGCAGAACTGCCCTACAGGGTTTCCAAGGCTGTAAACCTTTAAGCAAGCAAACTGCCTCATCTTTCTCCCACAGAGAAGCTGATCGGTTTAAACTCCCGACCTTCTGGTTAGCAGCCAATGCTTTAACCGCAGTATCACCAGATACCTTTGTGGAAGTATAGATAATTCTGATTTTCTTCTTTACATGTATTTTCTAAATTTTCTATGATCAATATGCATTGCTTTTACAATAAAGAGTAAGTCTCTATTTTTAATAAATATCCAGTCAGCCCAGTAGCTGTTGAGTTGATTCCAACTCATGGTGGGTAACCCCATGTGTGTCAGAGTAGAACTGAGCTCTCTAGATTTTTAGTAGCTTATTTTCTGGAAGAAGATTGCCAAGCCTGTCTTGAGAGGTGTAGAGAGTATCCAAGCTTATCTTAATTACTTTCACTATTCATTACAATTGGAACCTTAAAAAAGAATGGGACAAATTTGTCACTGAATTTGGTTGAGATATTCTGGTATTTTTTTTTCTGGTTGTATGTCTATATTCTCCCTCCTAGATGACCCAATTAATCATTCAGGCAGTCTTCACAATCAACCCTAATTATCACCAACAACCTAAGTGAGCAGCAATCTAAAATAACTATCACTTGACCAAAAGGACTGAATTAGTCGTAACACTGTACCTAATTCTTCAGAAAAAACTGCACCGAGTACTAAAATAATGAAGAAGGTCTTGTACTTTAACTATCCTAACTACTTATAATTTACTTATTATCTCAGTTCTATATCCAATTTTCTTTCCATAGATATAAACTAGGCTTAGCTTGGTTAGACAGAAATGCTTTCTAATTATTTTCTTTTCCTCTTAAACATGGCATCAAGATGTATTGATAATTACTGGTGATTAGAATGCAAAAGTTGGAAACAAAAAAGATGCATAAGTCATTGAAAAATATGACCTCAGTGATAAAAATGATATGGAGATCAAATAATAGAATTTGCATGACGAGTGACTTATTCATTGCAAATACTTTCTTTAAACAACATAAACAGTGACTACACACACGGACTTCACAAGATGGAATACACAGGACTACATATGTGGAAAGAGATGATGGAGAAGCTCAATATCATCAGTCAGAACAAGGCCAGGGGCTGACTTGCTCCTATGCAAGTTGAAGTTGAAGCTGAAGAAAATTAAAACAAGTCCATGAAAGCCAAAATATGATCTTTGGGTATATTTCACTTGAAATTAGAAACCCTCTAAAGAATAGATTCGATGCATTAAACACCAGTGACTGAACACCAGACAAGTTGCAGGAGGACGTCATACATGAATAAAGTAAAAGGTCATTAAAAAGACCAGAAAGGAAGAGAAGACCAAAGTGGATGTCAGAAGAGATTCTGAAACTTGCTCTTGAATGGAGAGTAGCTAAAGTGAACGGAATAAATGATGACATAAAGGAGCTGAACGAAAGTACAAAAGGGCATGGAGTCCTCTGACCTCCTCCAATTTCATGAGTGGGAGACAGAATCACCATCAATAGCCCAAGACTTGTTCCTATGTGGCGACAGTCAGACATGCCATCACTTTCTAACTCTTTGGCCATTTCTGACACCATCCATCCCTTCCATGGCACTCACTACGTCTCTGCTGGGTTTGATAATTTGTTGCAATGGCCCCACAGAAATCACAGATAATGTTCATAATTATAGGGTTTATTAGGTAAGCAACAGGTTACAATTCAGGTTCAGGGTTATTCAGAACACAGTTCTTTGATCAGGACTCCCTCCCTTCTGCCATGCCCACAGGCAAGCCTTTGGCCCTTGGCCTCTTGACCTGGCCTCTGCCCTGCTTGGGCAAGTGTTATAAAGTTTTTTAGCACTGATGATAGGTGCACCCCACTCCACCAGCAGGCTTCCTGACCAAAGGCACTCGGCTTTCTTGCTCTGTGTGCTGCCAAGGCCACTGCTCTGTCTTATGCCAGTCTCTTTGTTCTGCTGCCATTGATGCAACCACCAACTTTGCCGTCTCTCTGCCAAGGAGGTCTAGCACAGGATCCTGGGTCCAAGGACATGCTCCACTCTTGGCTGCTTGATGGTAGTGAGATCCCCTTTTCTGTCTTTGGGAAGGTTCATTTTAAGCCTAGTGGAATGACAAAACTGACTAAACCCAACATTAGGGTTCCATACACCTTATTTCCATGGTCTCACCCCTACATTGGTGCTGTGTGCTTTATTTGCATTAGTAGCAAGCTATCCAATCCCCTTAGCAGCCCACAAAGCATCTCACATTTACATAATTCCAACCAGTCATCTTGTGGGAGTCACAAAGACCATGAGTAGAAGAATCATACTGAGTAGTGTATGGCACCACAAGGTTTCAAAGAGCAGCTTGAGAGGACAAAGTAAAGTATTACAATGAAATGTGCAAAGATCTGGAGTTGGAAAATCAAAGGGCAAGGTGATGCTGGGCATTTCTCAAGCTGAAAGAACTGAAGAAAGTATTCAAGCCTCAAGTTGCGATATTGAAGGATTCTATGGGCAAAATATTGAACAACGTAGGAAACATCAAAAGAAGATAGAAGGAATTCACCGTCACAACCAAAATAATTGGTTGACATTCAACCATTTCAGGAGGTACCGTATTATTATTCAAGAACTGATGCCACTGAAGGAAGAAGTCCAAGCTACACTGAAGGAACTGGTGAAAAACAAGGCTCCAGGGATTGCTGGAATATCCATTGAGATGTTTCAAAGAATGGATGCAGAGCTGGAGGTGCTGTGTGCATGCCAAGAAATTTGGAAGACCTGGCCAACCAACTGGAAGAGATCCATATTTGTGCCCATTCCAAAGAAAGGTAACTCAACAGAATGATGAAATTATTGAACAGTATCATTAATATCACATGTAAGTAAAATTTTGCTGGAGATAATAAAAAAATGGTTGTAGCAGTACACCTACAGAGAACTGCCAGAATTTCAAGCAGGATTCAGAAGAGGGCATGAAATGAGGAACATCAATGCTGATGTCAGGTGGATCTTGGCTGAAAGCAAAGAATACCAGAAAGATGTTTAGTAGTGTTTTACTGACTATGTAAAGGCATTAGATTGCCTTGATCATAACAAATTATGGATAACATTGCAAAGAATGGTAATTCCAGAACACTTAGTTGTGTTCATGAGGAACCTGTAATAGAACAAGGAGATACTGCAGGGTTTAAAATCAGGAAAGGTGTGTGTCAGGGTTGTATCCTTTCACCATACTTATTCAATCTATATACTGAGCAAATAATCTGAGATGCTGGATTATATGAGGAAAAAGGCAGCATCAGGATTGGAGGGAAGACTCATTAATAACCTATAATATGCAGATGACTCAACCTTGCTTGCTGAAAGTGAAGAAGACGTGAAGCACTTACTGATGAGATCAAAGAGCTTTCAGTATGGAATATATCTCACATATATTGTTGTGAGAAAACAAAAATCCTCACAACTGGACTGACTAATAAGCAACATCATGATAAATGGAAAACTGACTGAAGTTGTGAAGCCACTGCCATCGAGTCGATTCTGATTCACAGTGACCTCCATGGGGTTTCCAAGACAATAAATCTTTACGGAAGTAGATTGCCCCATCTTCCTTCCATTGAACAGCTGGTAGGTTTGAACCACCAACTTTCTGGTTAGCAGTCAAATGCCTTATGCATTGTGCCAAAGGATTTCATTTTACTTGGATCCATAATCAATGTCTCTGGAAGCAGGAGTCAAGAAACAAAACGACGTATTGCATTAGGCAAATCTGCTGCAAAAGACCTCCTGAATGTGCTTTACAGCAAAGATGTCATTTTGAAGACTAAGGTGTGCTTGACTCAGGCCATGGTATTTTCATTGTCATCATATGCATGAGAGAGCTGGACAATGAATAGAATTGAATAAGAATTTTAATTATAAATTAAAAATGGGATCAGTTTACCTTTCCCTGTTCCTCATTTCACTGTGATCCAGTGAAAACTTTTTATGGACTAAAACAGGTATAAAGATCAACATTTCAGAAACAATGGTTTATGGAATAACTTAATACAGCAGTTTTCTCCTACAGAAATTAACACACACTACTCTGAAGCAGTATTTTCTGCTTCAGAGTATTTTGTGAAATAATGTTAATGATACATGTTTACAATATAAGAAAGACTGCAGAAGAACTGATGCATTTGAATTGCGTTCGTGAAGAATATGTACCATGGACTGCTAGAAGAATGAACAAATCTGTCTTGGAGGAAATACAGCCAAATGCTCCTTAGAAGTGAGAATGGCCAGACTTTGTATCATACTTTGGTCATGTTCTCAAAGGCACCAGTTCCTGGAAAAGGATATCATGCTAGGTAAAGTTGACGGTCACCAAAAGGAGAAAACCCTCCATGTGATGGATTCACCCAGTGGCTCAAACCATGGCAACAATTCTGAGGATGGCGCAGGATTGTACAGTGTTTCATTCCATTGTACTTATGGTCACTATGAGTCAAAACCAAATTAACAGCACATAACAACAAGTTAAACATGTATAAAACATCCTAATTAGAGTATTTGATAAATGATTAAGGGAGCCAGATGTTAAAATAAATGAATACATGACTTTCAAACCATTGTGAATACAGTAACAAGGAATCTAAACAATAACAACAAAAACCTAAACAACTAAAAGTGTAATGACAAATTTGATGAATTAACTCTAAAAAGTTAGCTTTATTTAAATAACTTCAGTGTTTTGAGTTATATATCTCTCTTTTCTCTCTCGTTGTCTTACAACCAGTGAAAATTCACACAGAATTAGCTTTTCTTGTGGCATGGAATTAATCTAATATGCTTTTGCTAAGATCTTCTGTGGCCAAAATCCTACAGCTAGTTTATAAATAATCTGCATCTCTTTGTTTTTAAAACTAGCTTTTACTTGGGATCTTTGTTAAAGGATTACCTAGTCTCCTAGTTAAGTAAAACTGCAATATTAGTAATTTTCTACCAAGAATATAAAAATCATTATAGTAAAGGGCATTCCACTGGAGTGACACAGGTCAGAAACCAACACATATACTTTTCCATCAGTAGTTTCAGGAAAGCATCAACAGTGATTCTTATTAGGGAGTTCTATTAGAACTCTTAAGGAGCTTAAAAAATAGGTATGTATTCCTGTGTCTTAACCATCTAAGATACTGCTTCAGAGTAGTGTGTGTTAAATTCAGCAGGAGAAAACTGCTGTATTAAGTTATTCCATAAACCAGTGTTTCTGAAATGTTGATCTTTATATCTGTTTTAGTCCATAAAAAGTTTTTACTGGACTATAGTGAAACGAGGAACAGGGAAAGGTAAACTGATCCCATTTTTAATTTATAAATTGTTGTCCTTCCCTTCCATTCTTCCTTCTTCTTGTTATTTAAATCTCCCTTTTGTGAAATAATGTTAATGGTACATGTTTACAATATAATTACCCATTGTTGATGAGCCAATTCTGATTCACAGAGACCCGACAGAACAGAGTAGAACTGCCTATAGGGTTTCTGTGGTAGTTAAGGTTATTTGTCAACTTGGCTGGGCCTGGTTTTGAATGGCTGGGCAGTTGAATATTGTTATTCCCCATGATGAGACTGGTAATCAACTCCATGGTAGAATCTACTGTGAGCTGCTGAGTAGCTGCCCTAGGGATATGGTCTGCTTCTGGTACGTAAGAAGCAATTTTGAGAAATGTATCTAGCTTTTTGGCACATCTGGATCCTGCATTTAGCCAAGTTTTCATCTCAGTGGCCTGCCATGTGGTCTGCCAATCTTGAGACTGTTTCTGCACTTGAACTAGTGGCCTGCCATGTTGCTTGATAATTTTGGGACTGAGCCATTTTACTTATCAAGTTGGGTTTGTCAGCCTCAGCAGCCAACAGCTGCCTGAGTTACGAGAAGCCTCCAGCTTGAGTGGGCCAGGAGCAAAAAAGGCAGAGCTGAAGCCCACAGTTGGGCTTTCACCCAAACCTTTAAGCTGGCACTTTGAACTCAGACTTCCAGCCCTCTAAACTGTAAGAAAATAAATCCTCTTCATTCAAGCTGTACATTTGTGGTATGTCCGTTAGAGCGGCACTGGAGAACCAAAGCAGTTTCCAAAGCTGTAAGTCTTTAGAGAAGTAGATTGCTGCATCTTTCTCCCACAGAGGCCTTGTAGGTTCGAACCACCAACCTTTCAGTTAGCAGCTGAGCACATAACCACTATGCCATCAGGCCTCCTTAACCTCCCAAGGTTGCATTATTTAAATGCTTTCCTCGATCCACATTATTCTAGCAATTCCTTAATTCTGTGTTTTCTCTTACTTATTTGAATTACCAAAAGCATTTTTCTTCGTGTATTTTGTTTTGTTCTGTTTTGCCATTTTAAGACATGTTCATCATAGAATATTTAGAGAGTCACAGGAAATCACAAAGAAGAAAAAATAAACCATAATTTCACCGGTTACAGATAATCACTATTAATGTTCTAGTCATATTTAATGAGTGCTAGAATCATACCATATATGCTAACATTAAACATTCTTCTAAATCAGTATGTTTTAAAAAATATTTACATAGTATATCCACCAACTATCATAATTTATTCAATAAGTCCTCAGCTCAAATTTTTTTTAAAACAAAGGTAGTTTAAAAATCAGTATTTCTAATTTCTTTGTACCAAATTAAAGCACAGTTAAAACAAGACAAAACAAAAAGCACAATGAAACCCACTGCATGCCAAAAATTGAAAGGTCATAACAGTTTCATCCTATAGATATGGAATATGATCCTTTTCTGATATGGAAATATTCTATTTAAATGTTATTCCCTTTTACACTCTTCTACGTGCTTTTTGTGAGTCTCATTTATAAGGAGATTTCTATGTGTTGGGTAGGCTGAGTGGTATTTTATTATTTGATGTTTTAAACAAATGACTAAGCAAAGCAAAAATAACGCAGGTATGTACAAATTACCAATTAAATTAATATATATCAATATTAAAAACATTTGAATTCTTATTTACCTTGAACAAATTTGACACAGTGATTGAAGAGAAACACTGGGCATGTAAGTTAAAGCAGCATTGTAACACAACAAAAGGAATGTCAACACTTCAAACCTAAAGATAAACCAAAAGAATATTCACAAATCATTAGAATTCTAAGTGAACTATAATTGAGCAGTCATTGAGGAGAGATGTATTACAGAATACACCTCTATAACACAATCACACCAACAACAATACAAAACTAAAACAAAAATGAAGAATTCTCAAGTAACAGGTATATGAAAATTATCTTAAAAATACTATGACATCTAAGGCAAAGTACAAGTGATAAGTCTGAATGATATGGTTTTCTCTTTTATAATATCCAAGTAAATTGTTGCATACAACTTATCAAACATTATTTATAAATATACTGGATAAATTTTTTCTTTTTTGAAAAGTCAGGGTGGTTGGATAATAAATAATGTCTCTACAGTATACCTATTCTGGGCTGTTAGCATCTCCCTTTGAGGATGAGGTCCACTGTACACAACTCTTGACAAACCATGTTGGGATAGTGCACTCTCAGTCAGAGCCATGGAACCAATGCTGGAAGGCTAAAGAAAAGACATTTGAATAAAGAAAAAAAATAGCCATTCTGTTGAAAATGTGCTATTTGGAATATACACACTACTAAGAATGGTTGCCATGAACATCACATATCTTAAAAATAAATATTGAGACTGCCCATCAAATTTTCTCCTAAAAGATTTAAAAAATAACTAAAAATCAAAGCACAAAAGAAAAATTTGTTCAACTTAAAAAAAGTCTACCATAGCAAAATATAATTGCCAAAGTGACTAGTTTTATCCATCATAAGAGAAATATTTCAAAAATAATACTTTAAATAATTTCTTCCTATCAGATTATAAAATTTAATGATTTTGACTTCTTATTTCACTTTGAGAAAAGTAAATACTTCATATAATGCTTATGCTTTTTAAGTTACTAATAAAATGATCAATTTTTTGCCTCAATTGCTAGACCCAGATTCATGGCAACTTCAAAACATGGGACCAATAAATTTGCTTTGATAACATGTCACTTACTTCATGATATACAGATGGTTTGGATAAGGATGGAATTGTAAAACTCAGTATTTTGCTATGTCCCTCTTTGTCAACTATTTCCTACGAAAGTGAAAGAAAACATCTTAAAATATTTGTTTTTTACACACAAACTTGAAAGCTAAATTCAAATTGTTAGTCTAAATGGAAAAAAAAAAAAGACCTGAGTACAAAGGAATTTTTAAAGTCAACTAAAATCTTAAGCCATGATAATCTATTATCAAGTATTCATGAACACCAGTATTTGAAATGATTATCCTTCCACTTTTAAAATATTAGTAACATATAGTTTTCTGAATGGCTAAAACACAGATATGAAAAACAAAAAAACACCAAACTCACTGTCATCGAGTCAGCCGACTCATAGTGACCCCTCCTTGGGTTTCCCAGGCAGTATCTCTAAAGAAGTAGATTACCCACCCTTCCTTCTGAGGAGTGGCTGGTGGGTTTGAACTGCCAGCCTTCTGGTTAGCAGTCAAGTGCCTTAGGCACAACCAATATAGTGCCTTAATAATTACTGACTGTCCTCATATAATAGGTTATATTTTCTAATAGAGTTAATTAACATAGCTATAAAACATCTTAAGAAAACAACTTTAAATTTCTTTTCCATTAAAAAAATATATAAACCTTAAGTATCTAGACTGTCATGCTGCTTAATACACAAACACTATTAAAAATGCAAAGTGTATGTTACACCAATGGCATAAAATCTAGAGACAGTCCAGATTTTATTGAACTATTACTGGTGGATATTGTATCTCCAACATTAGATTAGATCTTTTGTCCCAAAGTTTTTGTGAAGACCAGAAACAGTTAATTCCTAGACAATCCCTTTAAATTTTAAACACTTAAAATTTGACACTGCTATTTTCAGATACCTTAATGAAAGGAGTGAATGGCCTCACTCTTTAATCAATCTACATAAAGGTTTTCTACATACACAGTTGTCTATATGCTTATATGCCCTCAATCTCAATAAAGTTATTTTGGGAGAATGAGCTGTGCCTAATTTGATGTTTAAAAACAAGTATTAGCTTTATTAAAATGAAAATCAGTTGTAAATCATAAAACAATTCTGGTAAAAAAAATCACCATGTCTACTACTGCTGCAGGAAAAAGAAACAAAAGAGAAAATAAAATGTTTTGGGAATGACTATTTCCTACTCAAGGTGATAGACTTGCTTTTGATGGAAAACACTTTGTGAACTACATTCAATACAAACCAAATTGTAAACCCCTAGAAGAAGAGCTTCAATGCATCCACTGCTGTGCACATTTCTGCTAGCTGAGACTGCAAGGTAGCACCAAATTAGTTCTGGGAGAAACTGCAGTGTAAACTGAAGCAGCCGCTCCTCTCCACTGCGATAGAATTCAAAGAGCTGATGACAGACAGGTTCTAGCAACTGGAAGAAATATAAAATGTTAATTCAAGGACTGCACTGTATTTGACATTGTTATATGAAATATAATAGGTTTTTCCTGATTGAGAATTACTGAAATATAGAAATGTTTTAATTTTTTGAAGCAAAACTATTCACTGTAAAGCTATTTAGTAAATCTTTTGAACTCTGATGGAAGGCCAAATAAATATGTTGAAAGAAGGCTTTTATAATATGGTAATAATTCTATTTCTGGGCCTGAGTAATGGTACAGTGGAGTTCATTTAGTATAATCTTTAAACATACATATTTTCTTACTCTTTTAATAATACTTGATCATTTTTATTTGACAATAAAAAAATATATTTATTTTTATCAGTCATGTGAATACTTCGTTGTTGTTAGTTGCCACTGAGTTGATTCCAACTCACAGCAACCCGCTGTGTGCAGAGCAGAACTATGCCACGGTTTCCATGTTGTGACCTTTCAGAAGCAGATCTGCCATCTGAGGCACCACTGGGTAGGTATGAACTACCAACCTTTTGGCTAGTAGTTAAGCACTTAACCACTGGCACCACCCAGGGACACCACCCAGGGACTCCTAAGGGAATACTACTAGTATAATAAATTGTAAGAGAACTTACCTCACTTTGTGGCTGCTGGATAACTTTATAGAGAGATGAAACTAAAGTACTCTTGTCTTTCAAATTTATGGCATAATTTGGTAAAGATGTTTCTGGTAGTGTCTAAACAAATTAAAAAACAAAACACTTTATTTATATGAAATGTCCACAATAGGCTGATCTACATATATAAAGTAGATTAGTTGTTGCCAGGGTAGGGGCAGGGGAGAATTGGAAGTGACTCTTAACAAGTATGGGGTTTCTTTCTGGGGTAATGGAAATGTCCTAGATAGAATCAGATGATGGTGATCATTGCAAAACATTGTGAATATACCAAAATCCACTGAATTGTGCACTTTGAAATAGTGAGTTTTAGGATATATGAACTATGTCTCAATAAAAATAATCGCAAAAAATACATTTTATACCCTTATCATCAAGAAGAACATAAATTAATATCAATACTTCATCTTTGACCATAATTTGGCATTAGAAATAAGAATATAACCATGCTTAATTAAAGCTAGAGGTCTGATTTTTGGAGCACTGTATAAGTTATAATCTCATTAGCTATATTGATCCAGCTTCATAATAAGCATATCATATAATAATCTGATAATGTTTCAAACCTAAAAGCCACTGGAGAACATCTGGTCATGGTGACTCCTGAATTACATATTCTGACCCACAAGCTTGATAAGGCTGTTCTATTTTATAGAATTGGGAGAAAAACAGACTTCTTAGAACTGGATAAAAAGATATCCATACTACTAATAAACTAGTTTTCCTACTGTTGTATGCCATTGAGTTGATTCCAACTCATAGCAACCCTACAGGACAGAGGAGAATTGCCTCATAGAGTTTCCTAGGCTGTAATCTTCACAGGAAGGAGCTCTGGTGGCATAGTGCTTAAGGCATCTGACTGCTAATCAGAAGGCTGGCAGTTCAAAACCACTAGCCACTCTGTGAAAGGAAGACTGAGCGATCTACTTCCGTAAAGATTTACTGCCTCAGAAACCCAAAGGGGGTCACTATGAGTCATAATCAACTTGATGGCAGTGACGCTGAGTTTTTGGTTTTGGAATCTTTACAGGAGCTCTGGTGGCACAGTAGTTTAAGCATACAACTAAATGCTAACTAAAACTATGCTAACTAAAAGGTTGGTGATTCAAACCCACCAGCTGCTCTGAGAGAGAGTGTTGAGGCAGTCTCCTTCTGTAAAGATTTACAGCCTTGGAAACATTATGGGGCAGTTCTACCCTGCCCTCTAGGGTCACTATGAGTCAGAACCCACTCAATGGCAGTGGGTTTGTTTGTTTGTTTAATCTTTATAGGAGCCTATCTTCAAGTCTTTTTTCTCATGGAGCTGCTGATGGGCTCAAACCTTTCACCTTTTGAGAGGGTCATTTAAAATATAGTTCCTGATGTATGAACAACAAACGCAAAATGCAACACACTGCCATCAAGTTGGATCTGACTCACAGCAACAGCCGAATGGAAAACCAATTTGTTCTGTAAACTTTTACTCAAAATCATAAAAAAAATCATAAAAAAAAAAGTTTTATACAAACACACACACTGTGTATGTGTGTGTGTATATAGTCCCTAGGTGGCACAAGTAGTTTGCACTCCACTACTAACTGAAAGGTTGGCAGTTTGAGTCCACTCACTGATGCTCCAAAAAAAAAAAAGACCTGGCAATCTTCTGTAAAGATCATTGTCAAGAAAACCCTATAGAGTTCAACTCTATTCTGTAACATATAGGGCCACCATGAGTTAGAAGCAACTTGACAGCAATGGGTTTTGTTTGTCAGTTAATCATAGGTTGCTAGCACCACCTGCCCAGAAAGGACACCTGAAACAGAAAAGGGGGAGATAAGACTCAAATAGTAAGTCAGATGGTTTTGGGTACACAAGTAAGGAAATATGAAACAAATGTTCCATTATAACATGATTACATCCTATCCTTCTGGAGCATACCTCCCCCCTGATATTTGTCTCCCATGTCATTATTCCTTCTCACCCAAATTACCTCCCTTAAGGGGGAAAAAAAAAAAACTAATCCTGCAGTACATACCTATCTGAAGATGTTCCCAGCAGTCATTTTAAGATGTACAGTATTTCTTCCATGTTCCATATCTTAGTATTCCATGATTTAATATGGGTTATAGCTAGCATATGATTTATTTATATACATGCATAAATATATGTAGGAAAGTAAATAGCTTAAATTTTCATAATAAGCATATTTGATTCGATTCATTTTTACTTTACTGTGAGTTCCTTAAAGGCAAGAACTGTCTTATCTCTCCATCTACAGCACTTAGCACAAGGCTTCCTAGGCAAAACTTTGTCAAGGGAACTTATAAATGACAGAGTAAGAAATAAAAACTGTGTTTACAGTTCAATAGATTCTTTAAAAATAGGTCATATTTCACTTTAGAATATAGGTTTTTGTTCCCTAGTGCTGCTCTAACAGAAAATACCACAAATGGGTGACTTTAATAAACAGGGATTTATTCTGTTAGAGTTAAGAGGCTAGCAGTCCAAATTCAAAGTGCCAGCTCCAGGGGCTGGCTGAAAGCCCGTCAACATTGGGCTTCAGCTCTGTCTCTTGCTCCCAACTCAGTGAAAATGGAGTCTTCTCTTAACTCAGGCAACTGCTGGCTGCTGAGGCTGACAAACCCAAGGTCAACAAGTAAAATGATACAATCCTAAAATTATCAAACCACACAACAGGCCACTAATTCAAGTCCATTAACAGTCCCAAGATAGGCAAACAACATGGCAGGCTGCTGAAAGATAACCTGGTTACATGCAGGAATTGTGGTAGTTAAGGTTACATGTCAACTTGGCTGGGCTTGGTTTTGAGTGGCTGGGCAGCTGGACATAGTTATTCCCCATGGTGAGATTGGTAATTAACTCCATGGTGGAATCTACTGGAGCAGTTGAGTAGCTGCCTTAGGGATGTGGTCTGCTTCCAGTATATAAGTAGCAACTTTGAGAAAAGTGTCCAGCTTTTTGGTACACTTGGAACCTGCATGTAACCAAGTTCTCATTCAGCAGTCTGCCATGCTCTGCTAATCTTGGGACTTTTATTGGATTTTAATCAGTGGCTTCCCGTGTGGTTTGATAATCTTGGGGCTGTGCCTTTTTACTTGTTGACCTTGGGTTTGTCAGCCTCAGCAGCCAGCACCTGCCTGAATGAAGAGATGCCTCTAGCTTCAGAGGGCTGGGAGCAAGAGGCAGAACTGAAGCCCAAGGTTGAGGGGCCTACACCCAGCCCCTACAGCCTGGCACTTTGAACTTGGATTTAAAGCCTCCAAAACTGTAAGAGAAAAAACTCCTATTTGTTAAAGCCATTCCACCTGTAGTATTTCTGTTTGAGAGGCATGAAGTAACCGAAACAAAAATTGGTACCAAGAGAGTGGGGTGCTGCTCTGACAGATACCTAAAATGTGGAAATAGGAGTGAAGTGCATCCTTGACCTGAGACACTGGCTGAGAGAGAGCAGTACAGAGCTGAGAGAGACTGGACACAATCCAGAGAAGCAGAAACCACCACCAACACTTGAGATGGAACAACTTCTCTTTATAGACTGGAAGCAGCACACATCCCTAAGGCAGCCACTCAGCTGCTCCAGTAGAGTCCACCATGGAGCTGATTACCAGTCTCATCATGGGGAATAACTACATCCAGCTGCTCAGCCACTCAAAACCAAGCCCAACCAAGTTGACACATAACCTTAACTACCACAATATATAAATGAATAGATTCTTTTTTTAAAAAATGTAATAAGATACTTCTGTTTACCAGAATGGGAAGTAAATGTGAACCATTTGGGAGCAGTCTATCAATCTCTGGAAGAGGGGGAGATAGTTTCACTGTAACTGCTAACATAAAGAAGAGATTAAGGCATTCTTCAATATTTCAAAAGCATGTAACAAAAGCTCTCCAGGCAACATTCCATTTCCGTCATTTGATCAAGAGTAATCTAATACTGGAGAACTTTATATAAAAAGAAGTAATAGTCAAATAAACACACAACAGATTTCTAATTCCCTGAATGGAAATGAACCTAAATTATACATATAAAACATTTTATATCTATATATAGATAAATAGATGACTAACTTTAAAATTTAAGAATGATAAGTGAATTGGAATACAAATCTTAGAAATTATTAGTGAATTGAAAGATCATTATCCTATTGTAAATACTATCTAGAATAAAATTGTAATATTCAATAAAAACATGAATTAAAATCAATTTATGTATCAATTAACCCTCACAAAGTAAAATATTTCCTGGGAAACAGCCAAGGCAAATGGACACCTCTTTGCTGGAAAGACAAGCTCAGGAAAAACCCTGAATTCAGGCTGCTACTGCCAAAGGAAAGGAAGGGCATCCTAAAAAATAGTGCAGCAAATTAATACATTTTATTTGCAATTCTGTCATTATTTCATTTTATGAATATGGGAAAAGTTGCTTTTCTCTATAGAATGGGAAAAGATTTAACTGCTGAGTTATGAACAGTGTTGAAAAACTTAAGATCTAAAAGGGCCAATGAATTTAAATATTGTTACAACAAACATTTAAATTTTCTTGCCACTGTATTAGCTCAAAGGTTCTGGCTTTCCTCCACACCGGTTAAGCTTTCTTATGTTTCAGAAGGCAGAAAGAACTGAAGATGAAAAAGTAATAATGAAAAATTAGTCTTGCCAAAATTAGAAGAAAAAGACTGATGCTTCAAACTAAAGTACCATTAAGCTAATGGCTTAGAAATGTATATAAGGGGGTGATAGAGGTTGGATAAGACAGGACTAATGAAGATGGACACATGGGTTGTTGTTGTTGTTGTTATGTGCCGTCGAGTCGGAGCGACCCCTCCTTGGGTTTCAGAGACAGTATCACTACAGAAGTAGGATTGCCCAACCTCCCTTC